TCAATTTTGTGTAAATTTGGCAACTATTTTTTTTTGGAATTTGATTCGAAATGAAATGACGATTGTTAATGTTCTGGAGATCATAAATTGATTTATTTATAATTAACTTTCCATAGGGTAAGTAATCGCAAAAAAATCGAAAATGAAAATTTTTATATATCTTCACGTTTCAGAGGTTTCTGAATATGTTGGCATACCTTGGAGAAAATTGATGTATGTGTGTGTGTATGTGTGTGTGTGTGCGTGCATGTGTGTGTGTTCGGATACAAATTTTCGTCGACGATTTCGGGAACACGGATAAAGCAATTTGAATAATTCAAAAAACATTCTAGCCGTTCCGCAGATATGGGGCAAAAAGGGCCAAAAACGGTAACTTAGTTTTTAAGAGAACGGAGCGTTCGATTTGTATAGTTCAAAAAACATTTTACTTGTATTAACAAGATGAAGATTTGATCAAATTTTCATGAAGATAGGACTAGCGGTTTCGGAGATCTAGTAAAAAAAACTAAAAAAAAATAACATTTGGCGGTCAACAATAATCATTAGACATTAGACATATGCATATCAAATTATCAGATATTTTATTGAGATTTTTACAATAAGTATAAGTTTTGTTTACATTCCTATGGGTTCCGTACCATTGTTTTTCTGTTAGACAGCGACGCGGCGCTTACGCGCTTTATATTTTGTCTCTATGCAGTTAAAGCAGTACGATTGCTTTGAAAAAAAGTTCAGATCTTCCAAAATATATCAAAATGAAGATAACATTTTTTCCAAAAAAAAATTTTTATAAAAAAAATTGTTTAAAATTTTTTTTAAAAAAAAAATCTTATTTTCAAAAAAAGTAATTTTTTGTCCAATTTAAAATTTCTAAAAAGTCTCATTTTTTCGAAGTAAAATTTTTTCAAAAATGTTAATCGTTTTTAAAAAAATAATAATTTTTGGTACGGGAAGTTCCAGCAATTTGCCTCAAGGCACGATGCCTTAATTGCCTTAAGACAGAATTCCACTTACAGCTAGTTTTTTCTGTCGTTTGATAATTCTTTGAACAGCTTCAGAATCTGTCTTGTCTATAAAAACATAATCTATTTTAATATAGAAATAATTTGTAATCAATAAACTTACGTTTAGTACACGGGACAGAAGTTCGATTTGTTTTATTATTTTCAAGGAACAGGGTAAAATATTCTTCTTAACCAAATTATTTTGATTGGTTATAAAGGACTAACCTAGTATAATTTTATAGGCGCTTGATAGAATTCTATCTTACTACATTAAAGAGCTTTATGGTACCTTGACTGTGATTTTACATTTAATTATTCATTATAAGGTGACAGAATTTTTTAGTAGGTGCTTCATTGTTTTTTTTACCCAACCCTGTTTTCCGGAAGAAAAAACAAAAATCAATTTAGCCACTTTACGCACACAATATTCAGAAAAGATAACAACGATTTTATCGGAAGTGCTCTTTTGCTTTAACCGGAAAAGGCCTTGTTTTGTTTCCGGAACAACCGGATCAATTTTTTTTTCGCGCGCGTTCAACGACTATCACATGGTTCCGGTCTTTTTTAATAGACAGAGAGCTGGGAAAAAGAATTTTGTTGAACAATATTTATTGGCAATCGAAACAGAAACTACACATAGTTTTTGTCGACCTTTCTTCGAGTCCATATTTCTAATCCATTCAGAGCAATACTTCAAAATTTGTTCTAGATTTTAACCACACTTCAGATGTAGCGTTTCAGTAGTAGTTCGCCAATAGCATCATTTTTTATATTTAATTCCAAAATTCAGGTTGCTATTTAAAAATTGATATATGTATGTATGTCTATTTCTACGTGTATCTATATCCAATAGCCGTGAAAATTTAGGAAACTATTTTTTGTTTTTTAGTTTTTTTTTAGTTTTTGCATACTTGGCTTCCAACTTTCAAGGTTTGTTCTCGAAATATTTCCCCCAGCTCTCGCACTATTCAATGGCCTCCGCGAATCCTCATGGCGAGTGAGATATTGTTGCAAGAGAATTAATTATTTAAATAAATAAATAAACAAGTAAATAATGTTTTTTTACGTTTATAATTTATACAGATCTGATGTTTTCAGGTCGATTTTTATTGCAAAAAAATATTGCTCTTTAAATTGAACAATAAATTAGTTTGAGATGTTTGTTTAAAGAGCAGATAAAAATTTTAATTTGTATACAGGAATGTGTATATGTATACGTTTAATAAGGATCATAGAGATTTTTTAGGATTTTTTCTATTAAAAAAATAAAATATTAAATTAGTATTCAAGAATGTGTATATGTATTGGTTTAATAAGCATCAGAGAGATTTTTTAGGATTTTTTCTATTAATTAAATACTATACAATAATCAGATTTATAAATAAAACTCTAAAAATTTAGAAGCTAAATTAGAATACATAAAAATACATAAAAAATTAACGAATAAAAAAGTTCCAAAATAAAAAATCAAAACCTAATTTAAAAATAATTGAAGAACAGGTTGTGACAGATTTTTATAGGTGGTGACTGGATTTTTTTAGAATGTGATTGGATTTTACAGGTTGTGACTGGATTTTTTTGAGACGTGACTGGATTTTTGAAGACTTGGCTGGATTTTCCAAGACTTGGCTCGATTTATCAAAACTTGGCTCGATTTTTCAAGTCGTGACTGAATTTTTTTGGATATGACTGGATTTTTTAGGATATGCCTGGTTTCTTCCAAGACTTGGCTGGATTTTCCAAGGCTTGGCTAGATTTTCAAAGACTTGACTAAATTTCTCAAGTCTTGGCTAAATTTTTCAAGCCTTGGCTAAATTTTTCAAGCCTTGGCTAAATTTCTCAAGTCTTGGCTAAATTTCTCAAGTATTGGCTAAATTTCTCAAGTATTGGCTAAATTTCTCAAGTCTTAGCTAAATTTCTCAAGGCTTGGCTAAATTTTTCAAGTCTTGACTAAATTTTTCAAGTCTTGGCTAAATTTCTCAAGTCTCGGCTAAATTTCTCAAGTCTTGACTGGATTTTTCAAGACTTGGCTATATTTTCCAAGGCTTGGCTATATTTTCCAAGGCTTGGCTGTAATTTCCAAGACTTGGCTGTATTTTCTAAACCTGGCTGGATTTTCAAAATACTTTGCTGGATTTTTTAAGACTTGGCTGGATTTTTCAAGACTTGGCTGGATTTTTTAAGACTTGGCTGGATTTTCCAAGACTTGGCTGGATTTTCCAAGACTTGACTGGATTTTCCAAGGCTTGGCTCGATTTTCCAAGACTTATTTAAATTTTTCAAGCCATGGCTAAATTTCTCAAGCCTTGGCTAAATTTCTCAAGTCTTGGCTAAATTTCTCAAGTCTTGGCTGGAGTTTTCAAGACTTGGCAGAATTTTTCAAGACTTGGCTAAATTTCTCAAGTCTTGGCTAAATTTCTCAAGTCTTGGCTAAATTTCTCAAGTCTTGGCTAAATTTCTCAAGTCTTGGCTGAATTTCTCAAGACTTGGCTGGATTTTCCAAGACTTGGCTGGGTTTTCCTAAACCTGACTGGATTTTTAAAGATTTGGCTATATTTTTGACTGTATTTTCCAAGACTTTTTGACTGTATTTTCCAAGACTTTTTGACTAGATTTTCCAAGACTTTTTGACTAGATTTCCCAAGAATTTTTGACTGGATTTTCCAAGACTTTTTGACTAGATTTTCCAAGACTTTTTGACTGGATTTTCCAAGACTTTTTGACTAGATTCTTAAGACTTTTTGACTAGATTTTCCAAGACTTTTTGATTGGATTTTCCAAGACTTTTTCACTAGATTTCCCAAGACTTTTTGACTAGATTTCCCAAGACTTTTTGACTAGATTTTCCAAGACTTCTTGATTGGATTTTCAAAGACTTGGCTAGATTTTCCAAGACTTGACTGAATTATTTAAGACTTAACTGAATTTAAAAACAGTTTTTGGATTTTTTTAAGAACTGAATGGATTTTAAAAAAAAATGTAAGACTTTTAAGGCAGGATTTATTGGGACTTAAGTGAATTTTGTAAGAAGTGACAATTTATGGAACGTGGCAAAGTTGTTTGGTTTAAAAATTAAACATAATTTTCCTAAACTTGACTATATTTAATTTAATTGCCTTGTAAATTTATTGAATAAGTTTAGATTTTATGATCTATGATAGCTATTTATAGAATTTTATAATTGAATAATTAATAATAAACAAAATCATAAAGAAATATATATGCATAGTTATTTAATAACCGAATCGAATTAATATAATATTTACCTACTATTATATAAACATTGTATATAAAATTTATTAGCGAAAATAATTGCAATTTCCTTGGCAAAAAGCAGCAACAATTTATTATTTAACTCTAAGGTCTTCCTGATGACACCAGTTGATATTCAAACTCGTCCTTAATAATAATTTAATCACAATTTTATATAACAAATTACGGAAAATAACTAACAACAATTTTATAAAGGACATATACATACAATTTGTATTTTGTATTTACATACAATGTTCACATTACAAAGTGCACTACCTTTGGGATCAATTTCAAAGTAAAGTATAATTTTTTTCCAGCTAATTCCTTTGTACGTGAGTTTTCGATTTTGTTATAAATTGTTTTTGATGTTTGCAAATAAACATGACATGAGACTAAAATAAGATTTCTGAACTTTCGACATATACTCGTATAATACAAAGTAACGAGATTGTAACAAGATCAAACAAACAAACAAATGTCGCCTGAGTGTACGGAAACACAAAACACGTACGAGGAATTTTGTGAAAGTTTGTTTTTCGAATAAATGGGAGATTGTGAGAAATATGCGGATGTATATATACATATATATATATATATATATATATATTATATATATATATATATATATATTTATTTTTGAAGTCTTTTCTTGATCTTTGGAGGCTCTTGTAAATTTCCGGAGGCTTTTTGGACTATTCTGGGAATTTGGAGGCTATTCAGGGATTTTTGTGGCTTTTGCAGATTTTTGGAGGCCTTTGGCGGCTTTTGGCGGCTTTCCTGGGATTGTGGAGGCTTTAGTAGATTTTTGGAGGCTTTTTTAGGCTTTTGGAGGCTTTCCTGAGATCGTGGAGGCTCTTGTGGGCTCTAGGAAACCTCCAAAAGCTCTTGTCAATTTTTGTCGCTTCTTATGGAATTCTGGAGGCTCTTGAGGATTTTTGTAGGCTTTTGTATGGCTTTTGGAGGCTCTCGTGGAATTTTGGAGGCTCTTCTGGGATATTGGAAGCTCTTGTGGGCTTTTCACGGCCTCTGAGGCTCTTGTGAAAATCTAGAGGCTTTGTGTGCTCTTGGAGGCTTTTCTGGTTTTTGGAGGCTTTTCTGGGCTTCTGGAGGCTCTTTGTAGACATATGAAGACTCTTGAAAACTTTTGGAGGCTTCTAGAGACTATTGTAGATTTTTGGAGGCCCTTGTGGACTTCTAGAGGTTCTTGTGGACTGTCAAGGATTGACAGTCTTTAGAATACAATATGATTCTGTACACCACTTGATTTCGGTACACTTCAGGTTTATATTGCAGTTTCAAAGTACATCGAGTTGCTCTGGGAATTTTTGTTGTTAAGACAAGTTGTAGATTATTTAATTTTGCACAAATTTGTCGAATATTTTATGTAAATCTGACTTGTCGTTTAAAAGTTACAAGAGATTCAGTAAATGAGTCGCAGTATGATGGGTCGCATGTGGTGCCAAAACGTTGTCACGTCAAATATGTTTTGTAGATTTCTGGAGGCCCTTGTGGATTTCTGGAGGCTCTTGTATGGCATCTGGAGGCTCTTGTGGGATTATGTAGTTTCTTCTGGGCTTCTGGAGGCTCTTGTGGAATTTTGGAGGCTCTTCTGTGATATAGGAGGCTTTTGTGCATTTCTGGAGGCTTTTGTAGACTTCAGGTAGCTTTTGTGGACTTTAAGAAGCTTTTGTGGACCTAGAGGCTCTTGTGGGCTTTCGGAAGCTCTTGTGCACTTTTGGAGGCTTTTGTAGACTTTTGGGGGCTTTTATGGACTTCAGCAGGTTTTTGTAAACCTCTGGAGGCGCTTGTGAACTTTACGGAGATTTTTTATTTTTAAAAACTTAATTTATGTAAATTGCTAGGGGTTCTGTGGTCATCGACTTTTGAAGGCTCTTGTAAATTTTATTTTTTATGATTTTTACGAGATTCTTTTGCTTTTTAGTTGGTTCTCTATATGCTTTTAGGGATTATTGTGATAATTTAGGGATCTTTGTAAATTTATGGAGACATTTGTGGATTGTTAGGTGTTTTTGGGCTTTTAAGGATCCTTTTATGTGTCGTTTTGAGATTTCTAAAGGATTTCAAAGAGGTTCTAAAGGATTTTTACTCATTTTACATGCCCATTTAAATCGTTGTGATCACAAACCAGAAACAACATTTAATTCTGATTGTGGATAATTATATAACCACTTGCAAAAATAGTAAAAACTCAAATAATAACTAGCAAAATGCGTAAGAATGATATAACAAAATGTTGAATTTTATTTAGTCAACCTTGACCTCACTTTGACGCAATTGACTGTAAATACATCATAATTAATTGAACAATTATATCAGAAACTACAAGTATTTTTTTAAATTTTCAATAGATTGCAGTTATTATTTGGTATCTGTCATGATGATGACATACTGGTATCTCAAAAGATGATAAAATAAAATTATAGTTAGAATAAAAAATATGTAATGATTGATAATAGGTATAAAAGCTCCACAATTTATAATATTTTTTATTCAATTTATTATACTAAATAAATTAGTCTAAATTTATCGAATATTCAATTTGATTTTCATACAAATGTTGAAGAAACTGTTATTAGATCATTTATTTACTTCTTCAGCTTCAACCATCCATTGATTTGAGATACTTTTATGGTTAGTGGATCTACAAACAAATAAATAATTTGATAAAATTTTTAATTAGATCATCATTGGGATCTCTAGAGAGAATCTATCAGGATCTATCAGGATTCACCTTATTTTTACTATTTTTTTTACTAAAAGCACACAATTGGGGAACAAAACATACATTTATTTCTTCATTCCTTTAAACAATTAATAATATATTTATTTTTATTTATCTTTGATGTCAAAATAGACTCTTAGTCCACTGACGACTTCATCATCGACCAATAACATGGTATCAAGTCGATATTCGCCTCTTGGCAAGTCTTCTGGCTGATCGTCTTCACTTGTCTCGACATCGTCTTTGATTTTATAAACACCCTGTGAGATAAAGGATTAATAAAAATGATTTTTTCTCTGATAACTTTAGGACCTCAACATCCCATTCGTATTAGATTTTTCAAAAGACTTTTGGTTGATTTTAAAAATATTTATATTTTTATTATTACCTTGTGGACAGGACATTTCTGTGGCAATTCGACAGCATCCTTCATCAGGGAAGAAATTTTGTTGTCTCTGTTAAACATTTCGCACCAAGGGTCAGGGCCAAGGCCCAAAACAGGGTCGTATTCACCCTTGTCGTTTTTCTGACTCACCAGAATCTGACCCTAAAAATAATATATATATATAAACCATAAATTTGTCAAAGATAACATTGTGAAAAGTTCGATTTTTTATGAGATACTACGAATTTACTAAAATATTACTAATTTATGAAAAAGATAATATAATTCTAAAACGCTTAGTCGTACAGAAAAATTGTATTTAAATCTTTTTGTTGCAAATTTATCAAGCTATAAAGTTGCCAAAAATTGGTGTGAAAAGTTCGATAGTTTGTGAGTTATTACTAAAATATTACTAATTGACGAAAGAGCTCTGTTATAATGGGTAGTTACTAATTGATGAAAAATCTAATATAACTCAAAAATGGTTAGTCGTACAGAAAAATAGTGTTTAAATTTTTTTGTTGCAAATTTATCAAGCTATAAAGTTGCCAAAGATAGTGATGGGAAAAGTTCGATAGTTTGTGAGTTATAACAAATTTACTAAAATATTACTAACAAACGAGCTCTGGTATAACTCTAAAATGGATAGTTACTAATTGATGAAAAATCTAATGTAATTCTAAAACAGTTAGTCGTACAGAAAAATTGTATTTAAAGTTTTTGTTGCAAATTTATCAAGCTATAAAGTTGCCAAAAATAGTGGTGTGAAAAGTTCGATAGTTTGTGAGTTATTACTAAAATATTACTAATTGACGAAAGAGCTCTGTTATAATGGGTAGTTACTAATTGATGAAAAATCTAATATAATTCTAAAACGGAGAGTCGTACAGAAAAATTGTATTTAAATTTTTTGCTGCTAATTTATCAAAGTATAAAGTTGCCAAATATAGTGGTGTAAAAAGTTCGATAGTTTGTGAGTTATTACAAATTTACTAAAATATTACTAATTGACGAAAGAACTCTGTTATAACTCTAAAATTGGTAGTTACTAAAATCTAATGTAATTCTAAAACGGTTAGTCGTACAGAAAAATTGTATTTAATTTTTTTTGTTGCAAATTTATTGAGTTTTAAAGTTGCCAAATATAGTGAAGTAAAAAGTTTTATAGTTTGTGAGTTATTACAAATTTACTAAAATATTACTAACGAAAGAGCTCTATTATAACTCTAAAATGGGTAGTTACTAATTGACGAAAAATCTAATATAATTCTAAAACGGTTAGTCTTACAGCAAAATTGTATTTAAATTTTTTTGTTGCAAATTTATCAAGCTATAAAGTTGCCAAATATAGTGGTGTGAAAAAATCGATATTTTATGAAATATTACTAATTTTACCTCGTAGTTCTCCATTTCGTCAGTGATGTCCACTAAAAGTTCCAAGGAACCTGTGAATCTTTCATTTTCGTATTTGAAATTCGAATAATCGTAATAACCGTCTCTTGTGCCATTCATGTACTCGATTTCATTAATTTCCACTTTCCAATTCACCTAAAAAAAATAATAAATATAAAATAAACATAAAAAATGATAAAGTATTTAGTAACTGATATCAAAATTTTGTTGGATATTATTTTTTATATATTAATAGTTTATCGATTTTCAAGTTTAAATAGTTTTTAACACCGTTAGTAACACTGACAAAACTGAATGTATAATTTCGAAATTTTTATATATTAAAATTTAATAAAATTTTAAAAATTTTGAAAATAAAGAATGCCCATTCAATTTGTTTTTCTATATCCTTTCATGTATAAATATGCGTATAAAATTTAAAATAATATTAAAAAATAAAAAGTGAACATTATTATTATTTAAACAAATAAATAAACAACAAAACTTAAATTATAATATTACATAATAATTTTACAATTTTTTCATACAATTTATTATCACCATCCTGTAAATTTTCCATCATTTTTCTTTCACCCGGAAAAATGATTTTTCCGGATTTTCCGGATTTTCTTCGTAATTCCGGTATGAAAAAAATATCGTGTCGCATTATAAGGCCCTTATAAAAGGTGTATTAAGGCTGTACCTTAATCTTGGGCCTTTTGTAAGGGATTATAAGGATTTTATTTCGTTGAGCAGAGTAATTTGGGATTTATTCGAAAATTAGATGGATTTTTGTAGGGAGAGAAAAATTATTTGTATATATATATATAAATATATATATATATATATATATATATATAAATTTATATTTTATCATACCTCTTTAGTTAAAACTCCACTAAATAAAATTGTTACCAAAAAACAAACTTTAAAGTCCAACATTTTGGCTAGATTTAAATTTCCATAATATTTTTAACAAGTATTTATAGATTTTTTCGAAAATAAGCTTGCGTGTTGTTTTTTTTACCTATTATATATTACAATTTTTTTGTTTTACTAAATAATGGAAATGTGTTTTTGAAATGCTTTAAATAAGATTTTTCGTGACTGATATTTCATTTAATTTCCTGAAAGAAAATTGAATGATGTTTCGTGCTGAATATAAATAATTATATATGATACATATAGTTATATATTTGTATATATATATATATATATATATATATATATGTATATATGTGTGTATATATTTGCGTCATAGAAAATTAAAAACTTTATTCATAAAAGTTGCTTTGATGCAA